GCCCCCCCCCCCTCTCCCTCCTTTCCAACTCACCTGACAGCCGCCAAAACGGGAATCTTTAGAAGCGAGCAATGTTCTACTTCCTATCGGAAGAGACTAGTCGGCCCCTAGTCGCAAATTGTTCCATACCTGTCTGGCTCATACCTAGAGAACCCAGCCTAGATGGTGCTCGGCGGCATACCAAGCTTCTGACCCATCCAATGCATGCCTTCTCATGATGCTGCGAGGCTCTTCCAAATCCCACGTGTCTTTTATGCGGCTATCTGTGTAGTGGAATGCCTGCAAGGTAGTTTACTCACCTGGAATAGCAGTCATCAAGCCTCAACGTCAAGCCCCTTTCTAGTCCACGACAGGGGGCATGGCATTGCATAAGTGAGCAGAATAGAACACAGAACTGTCCGGAATGCGCCGTACCCGGGAGCGAATAGGTGCCTGTACATTTCTGTCCCGAACACGGCCGCAGTTGCGCTCCTAAGCAAGTTAGAGTATTTCTGGGGCGAACAACTCCAATTTCAGCATCCCGCGCTGCTGCCTCTCGTCTCCCTTCCCTTTCCGCAACCGGTAGTCCAGCTGTAGAATGTCAAAGGAAAGAGAAGAAAGGCAATACAAATAACTACATCCCCAAAGATTTTTCTTTCTCGGCCAGATGAAAGGAGTCTTTTTGTTGCCGCCACTGTACCTAGATGTTGGTTTGACAAAGGCTGCATCCAGTGATCTGTTGGTCGTCTTTGGTCCCATTCTAGTTACCATTACCTCAACCATCAAGAGGCTTTTGGTCAATCAACCTAAATTCCAAGCAGCCAATATACGTACATTGTGAAACAACTCCGACTAACGCCTGGTGATATTGGGTATACAACTAAATCATCGACCCGGCCGCCCACCTACTCACCCACTCGGCCACCGTCGGTCTACGTGGACATCTAGGCATCTATATCACCTCCCTCTAAGTTGTTCACCCACTTGGATCGAAAGGTTGCATACGGAATACAATAGACATCCTTATATTCCGAATACCGTCGACCGGGAATACTTAACAACTATAGTTGTTTCGCCTTGAGATAACACTAACAAAGGAGACCTAAGGGGAAAAGCCTGTCAGGTGTGTAAGTCGGAGGCGCTGGATCAACCAGTAGTGCTTCCTCGTACCCATATCAGTATTGACCACAGCCCGGGGGCGTGTACTCATCAATAAATCAACGCCCGGTCGATACATCAGGGATAACGTATCTACAATACACACGCCTATTCTCCAGTAGGCCGTACTGCTGTAGCCAGTACCTACACAGTCTATCCCCGTCCTTAACCTAACGGAGAGCTTGTCGGCCGAGAGCACCGCCAGGGCACCATCTTGCGCTCGTCCCCCTCGCTCGCCAATTCATTCCTCGCTGCGCAAAGAGGCAGACTTTGCATTAGGTTCGTGCCAGAAGTTCATTCCTTCACCTGACTGACCGGTTCTGCACGTACCCCCTGCCCTTGTCCGTACTTTCATGTCCTGCTTCTTATCACGTTCTATGGTCTGCACTGCCTGCCAGAGGCACAAACCCAATTTCTGACAGATCCCATGTTGCGACTGCATCGTTTCTGCCATAACTTCTTGGCTAAGGCTGGCCGTCGATCTCTGCTAGCTAGCAAACTAGCTAGCGGCCAGGTGGCCGGTCATTGGATGTCATGCATAGAGGGCATTTTTATAGGCAGATGTTGGCAGCAGATATGGGCAGAAGAGACGTATCAGATAACATTAAAGACTGATTCGCTGGCAGATTCCTCTGACGGATGCTTCTGTTTCCTCGGCTCAGCATACAAGCCCACTCCCTCTAACACTTTAGGCCCGAACTCTTCGGCAGCCCGTTATCACCTGTCGTCTTCTCTCCGTGGAAGCACCGAAGGAACTTCCAGCTTCAGATCTAGCGACCTACCCATCCCCTGTTCGCCCATATATGTCACTCTCCGAGCTCTAGCTACATCACGCGCCTGGAACAAGGCTTGCGATCGCCTAGCCGGTCTTAGGAGCTTCAAGGGGTCGCATATTACCAAATAGAGAGAGGGGAGATCAGCTACCACCGATCCGAAAGCAACTCATCATCACTGCCACCCCAGCTTCTGTCTCTTAACAATAGATCCACCGTCTATCTGCTAGTGCCCTACATAGGCTCTCGGTCTGACAACCATTCGGCCTGGGAACCCTATGCGGAATGCAATCGAGCTGGTTTGAACTAGCCCTACGAGAACGATTGACCTACGTGTATCCTAACGAATATCCATCTACCCTATGTATGTGTATATGCTTGCCAGATAGATCGAAAACTGGGAAAGCTGAGCGACTATCGTCCCCTATTCTGCCTTGGGTGCAGGGAAACCCTTTGAAGAAGTTCTTTCAATACTCTGTCGTTGTGTACGGTACCGCCTTTATCCGCCTAACAATAAGCCCTGCGGCCCATTCCATCATTTAGCTGTGCGGTCTGTCCTCCAACATTAATATCTTTTCTCTGATCTCGCCGCTCCGTGCTCAAAGATAGGAGGAACCGATGAGATGGAGCAGGGTGACTCGCCATCCCCGGCACCTTCGAACACCCTCAATCAGACTGACGATGCGTTCCATAGCGGCTTCCAACAACTAATCCAGCACAATGCGGCACCTACAGGCTATGCTCAAGCAGAGCACCAGTCGGTCGAAATAGGTAGTCAAATAGGATCGAATCCGCACTCCAGATACTCGAGCCCAGGCCCACAGGCGCATATGATGACTACCTATGGCCACAGCCCGATCAACCAGGCATCTCCCTACGCAGCTCCCCCATACCCAGGAGGATACACTGCATATCATATAGATCCAAGCCCTTACCCCCAACTTCCCGATGTGGGCTCCGGAGCCGTAAGTTCTTTCGAGCTGAGAGCTCTCCTCGTCACTTAGTCCATGATACTAACACTCAAACGATTCCCAGACTCCTCATCACACATACAGTACACCCGCCACATCACCGCCAACGCCTGTCCAGGCTGATGGAATAACCACCCGCAGCGGGAGGGCAATAATGAGGCCATCAACAGCTAGTACACTCACACGGCCATCGCGAATTGATAAGCAGCCATCCAGGACCCGAGCCAAAAAGAGAAAGAGACCCTTAGGCGACGCGTTTCCCGAGTCGTCCGCGATATTGCTCGGGGATCCGCTTAGCGTATTAGTAAAGGATATCGCCGGCATAGAGGATACGGATATCGAGGCGTATGTAAACCGCTCGCCTGAGGACAGACGGCGCGAGGTAACGCAGTCCAAGACAGGAAAAGTGAAGCGGCCGATGAACGCGTTCATGTTATACCGTAAAGCCTACCAAAACAGGACCAAGGAGTGGAAGAGGCTGGACGACATCCGTAGAAAAGAGGAAAGCGCTAGCGAGGGGAAGCCCGAGAAGGGCCACGATAACCATCAGGTCATCTCTCAGGTCTGTGGCATCAGCTGGAATATGGAGCCTCAGGAGCTACGCGACCAGTACGATGAGTGGGCCAAGGTCGAGCGCAACAATCATAAGCTTGCGTTCCCAGATTACAAGTTCGCGCCGGCCAAATCGAAGATTAAGAAGACGGGCGTCGGTGAAGGCGGGGTCCGCAATGATGATTCGGATGACAACGCATCAAACCTCGACGCGTACGACATCCAAGAATGGCAACAGCCCAGCAGCGGGCCGCCTTCAAGAAACGCATCGCGGTCAGCTCGGTTCATGGACTCGGAGAGTGACTATATGTTTCCGCCGGGGTACCCACAACCGCCCGTGTACACATCCCCCTCCCCCGGCGTACAGGCCGCACGCCTACCATACGTGGGCCAATCACCAGTACATCAGCAGCCTCATCCTTCATCCTTCCAGTACTCAAATCCCGGCAAGCAGCGGCCCGCAGACTATGGGTCAACGCTCGGGCAAGGGCAGTACTATCAGCAGAACACGGAATACACGCAGCCGACATATCCGCAGACATACGGCGGTGGCCCCTACGGCATGCATCCCCAAGGCATGCCGGCGTTTGTCGAGAATGTGTACATTAACAAGACGAATTCGCCGGGGTCGTCTTTCCACAATTCGCCCGTCCTAGACCAACACCGCCACCCCTACAACGAGCTCATGGCAGCTTCGACCTCATACGGGCCGCAGATTTCACACCCCATGCAGCACCCGCAGCCTCAGCATCTAACTCGTCATCTTGCTGAACATCAGATAGACCCTTCATTGATGTCGGGTGTAGGCCATAACACCAGCGACACCACGTATGATAATCTCGGAATTCTAGGTCTTGGACAGGGTGGCGATTTCGCCGCGGACAATCTGTCGGCGTACCAGCTCGATACCACCGGCGGATTTGGAGGGAGCCACATAGAGTCACCGCACCCACAGCAATTCGAGCAGGCATACCACACGCCTAACGAGACTACACCTGCAGCGGAGGGGGGCAGCGACGCCGCGGCAGACACGAAAATAGGTTCCGCCGATTGGGAGACCACACTCGGTGGCACGGAGTTCCAGATCGAGGATATCGATCAATTTCTCGGGACGGCCGCGGACAGCCCGAGGAGATAGGGATCTCGATGCGAGCGTTCGCCGCATAGTGTACATGTTTTCAGAACCAAAACGCTCTTTTTCTCCTAGACCGGTCTTCTCCTCTCGGCCCTCCTCCTCTTTGCTCCCTGCATGGAAGAGGAAAGGAAAAACACAGATGATAGGGAACACGGGGTGCATGGAAGGGATTAGGGCACTCACCGACAGTACAAACGTACAGGAAGGGGGCAAGAAAGGGGGGGGGGGAAGCGAGGGAGAGAGAAGCGAGGGCCCAAGGAGGAACAAATGGGAGCAAATTTCATCTTGTATTTAATATCCTATTCTTCACTTCTCTTCAGGTGAAATTTGCCCTTCCACCTTTTTCGCTGCTGCTGCTGCTGCTTCTTCGCTTCTCTTGCATCCATTTCGTGCATCTACATCATTGGAGTCCCTGCCAATGCCACTCACTATCTCCCAGTGGCGTAGTTGGTCAACGCGTTCGATTGCAATAGCTTCTTTGTTACCGAGAGATTACCTGTTTGATTCAGGTCTAGGAGAGTGGTAGTTTTTTGTTGTTGCTTTTTTTCCTGGATCAATGAACCTTTTTGCTTCTACAAATCTTAACATCTATGATTAGTGTAGAAAGCAGAGTAGAGTTCGCAAGTAGTTTATACTAATGCAGTACCTACCTGGTTATTGACTTTATGCACTAATAAGCCAATATGCCAGTCATAAGTGGGCTAACAATGTGGCACAGCCACGTTGCCAAGTCATTAGCAAAGCCACAGAAAACTGTACATCTCTTTGCCATGCTTGCCGTTCGTAAATAGCTTCTTCCTTTCTTATATGTAGATTCTATATAAATTAAACTATTACAGAGCTTTAACTTCTTGAATAACTATATTATAATTGGTGAAGAGAACCAAGGGTAGTAAGGCAATACGAGTAGATTGATGATAACGAAAGGAAGGCCTTACTTTAATTGCCCCCTTACATGCCTGTATTAATAATAATATGTATTAATAACTACTTAGATAATCGTATAGTTTTAAATGTAGAAAATATAATAAAATATTGACTAAATAATTAAATTAATAGCCTAATAATGAAAGCACAAAATAGAGAAATCCTAAGAAGCGTAAACACAGAGTTACAGTCACAAGTGGTGGCTACTAACAGTCCTTGAGGCTAAAGTATAGCTTCTGTACGTAAACGCAGCCTTCCACGCCTTATACCCTTTGGGAGGTCTAGCTTCCTATATAGCCTTGGGCGTCAAAAGACAATCAATAAAGCCAGTGTCAACCCCTTTCGTGTGTTCCAACCTATGGCCCAAAGCATTCAATAAGATATATAAAGGGAAACAGGAATTAAACCGGAAAAGGGGGGACGGCGGAAATAAGTAGAGCGTAATGTGACTAAATTCTTTCGGGTAAGATTGGTTATCTTTTTTTTGGCGAGCGATTCGGCGAAGAGTCAGGAAAAGAGAGGCCCCGTCGTCTGGATGCGTCGCCGTTGTCGTCTTTCGTACCACTTGGTTTGGAACTAGAACCGGGGCCGGTACGCTTGAATGCTCATCGCAAGACAACGTCGTCTGGATCATGAAAGAGAGATCGGTTTTGCTGAGTGAGGATTGCCATGAATATGAAATAGGGTGCCGTCATCGCGCCTAGACAAGGCGTCTAGGTGAAACAGGTAGAAAGAATTACATAGTTGAATGAAATCGAGGAAACATCCGTCTCCCTAATTTGTTCTTTGTATTCACCTAGCCAAGACTAGGAAAGAAGTCTAGTTCCGCCTCTCTTGAGTACCGAGGCGTTTACTCGCATGCAAGTAGTATAAGGGGTAACCTGTACCTAGTACCTATCTATGCGAGAAGCTTTACGTAACTTACGCCGGTGGGTTTTCTTCAGTGTGAGACTGTTTTAGATGCCCATTCATTATCTGTATCGCATTTGATCCGCTGCCCGTCCTTCCCTAATCTAGTGATAATTGAGATCTGGGCCACCCTCATAGAAGCTGCGAAAGGGAGAAGCGCAATGATAGTACATATACGCACTGGCTGCTGTAGGGCGTTGTTGGTCCGCTTGGGATCCGCTGCACATAGTAGGATGATCGCGAAGATCAGGCATGACATAGAACCCCATAAATTTACGAAGGAACCCGTTCATGAAAGGGCTCCTAATAGCGAGGGCCTGATAGCTCGTTACACTGGGGCCGGGGAGAGGAAGAGAGGATAGAGAAGTGGGCGGGAACAGCGTGGATAATAAGAAATCTCATTTCTGACCTTACAGCTCATCTTTGATCTCTCGATCACCTGTTGCCGGGGTTTCTACAAGTCCCTCTTCTTCCATCATCCTCTTTCTAGGGTTCGGTAATTCTTCAACTTTGCGGTCTCTTAGTACGGTCTCTTCCCTACTATCTTCATCTGAGGCTGGGGCTCCATTCTGAGATTCATCAATGATCTTCTCGACCTCTTCTATCATGGACCCATCTGACTCTACTGCCTGTGATTCAAGAGGCCTACCAACTTGGATAGTTGGTACGCCCCTGTTGTTCATGTAAGCTTGTTGGGGACCAGAGCCGACCGAAGCCGACTCCGACTCTGATTGTATCTGCGACCCTTGGAGCCCGACAGCGTTGGAAACCCCAACAGCGGTCCTAAATAACAGTTTCAGAGGGAGCCAGACTAGCCACCAAACCGGGCCCCAGAGCAGGCGTCGGAAGATTAGCCACCCGACTGTGACAGCCAGTAAATAGAAGGCAGACTGTAGATACCACGTATCCGTTTTTTGGCTCTTAAGCAACGTGCCGAGCAAGGCGCGAGAACTCGAGAGCATGGTGTCAAGGCTTGAGTAATTCTCCGAGAGGTGGGCAAGAGCCTCGGTCGATTCTTTAAGAGTGTTGTGAGCGAAGTCGCTCTTGACCAGTTCAGCAGTCATCATGTCGTGTGTCCTCCTCAGCGACTGCGTCACATCGTGACTAGCGCTGATCATCTGTTCCTCCTTGGACATCTCCGAGGTCAGTTGCCGACGGCGAGGGGCTAGGGCACCCGTGGTAGCGGTCGTTGACCTCGGAGACGATGCGCCGGAACGCGGGCTCGAGAAAGACGCATAGAGAAGCTCTCGTTCTTTTCGCTGAGCGAGTTGTAAATTGCTCTTTGCCGTGATTTGCGCCTTACGGAAGGACTTTCGACAACTACTCAAGTACCTTTAGCCGTATATCCCGTGATAAAAACGAGGTTCGGCGCAACCCCAGAGGGTCGAGGGCGACTTACAGCTGCAATTCTTGCTCGAGTCGCTCTGCGCCATCCTTCAGTCGGTCTTTGTCATGCTGGAGGACACCACCAGATCTGCTTGGTCGTACGTCGATGATCTCCTCCTGCAATAACTCAAGTTCCTCCTCCTGCTCTCGTAGTATCTGATTTATTTCCGAACTCAACTCCGAGCCCACATTATCGTCATCGGAAGCACCGAGCGGCACAGATCCGGGTTGGAAGTCGAAGTTGGCGAGACGATAGATGAGTTCCTTGAGCTGATTTGTGGCGTCTTGCAGCACGTTCAGTCGATCCTGCAGGTCGATGAAGCGCTTCTCCAACGACTCTAGTGACATTGTTGGCGGTAGATATCCTAACGCAATATGATTAACTAAAGAAGTTTAAGTGCAACATCTATCCTTCGCATTGTTTCCATTAGGTAGTACCTTAGGTGGTATTTTGGGACTTGTAACCTGTGACGTGACGTTGTCAATTTGGTACTCTGGGTACAGTCTACCTGGGACCTGCCTTCTAACCCTTGTCTCCAGGCTAAACCCAGATAGGCAATTTACCCACCCTGCAGGGTATTTCCCACCTATTGTCCTTTAAATGTTGAAATGTGGCTATATAATCCCTGAAACGCCTCTTTTGTCAGCCCAACTAGCCACAATCATGAGCTCCGAAAACCCTGGGCTTCAAAGTAGTCTCATTTTCCCTATTTGCCCACCAGATAAAACCAACGCATAGCCATTGACGACGTAGGTATGCTTCTAATAGAAATCCCGACTCGGCCCGAAGTACGGCGAAGCCGATCACAGAATTAATCCGCATAGCAGGTCAACCTGCCCACGATGATTACCCGCTTCATCACCGAGGTGAACACCAGGTTCAACCCTTTCTCGGTGCGCTCGCGCGCCACGAGGCTATTCCTCAGCTACCTGCCTCCCAATGCCCGCACCCAAATGCAGATCAACACAACCCTAATCCCACGAACATCAACCGAGCCAAATATACTCCGTATTAAATTTAGTGCGTCGCAACTCGTTTGCTAGGCTATCATCAGCCTTTCTAACATCGTACTGACGTAATGCTTTAGAGGATGGAAGGGAGATGAATCTCGACGGCGAGACACTAGGCATCAAGGGCATCATTGAAGAAGTGGATAGGCACTCCCGCGCTCTGCAAAAGCAGGCGGATCTTACCGAAGGCTAAACGAACCCGAGCACCCCGGAACTTCTTCCCTTATATCTATGAGCATTGCTAGGCGTTTTTGGGTTTTCTGGGTGCGGTATCACTTAGTTGGACAGCGGTGTATTTGCACGATCAATAATTGCTGAGATAACTATGCAATTAGACCTCGGGGCGTGGACTGTCGTGGATTGAAATATGGCCAAGGCATTGGTGATGACGCAAGATTATTGGTCTTTGTACTGTTATGAACCCGAGTTGCGGGAGGGACGTGAAGCTACAGCGAAACGAAAACTTGGCGCAGCTCTACACGATCGTCAAACACAAGTTTCAGGCGAATCATATCAAAATAGCTACAGGCACAGGCACAAAGAGTAGTCATTCTACACGTCCAAATACGTCAGTCATTTCCCGCCTACTCAATTGTCGTTTCTTGGGCCCGAGTCTATGACCGCAAATCGAGCTATTCTGTGTTAAATTGACAACGCATGGGGTGGTAGTCTAACACTGCGCTTAGTGTTTCATGTGGAACATTTTTTATGTTGATATGTGCGGGGAACTTGTATCTAAGGTCAAACCGACAAAACACTTATGAAGCAGCACCGCTGATGAAGAACCATTTGTCGATAGAGCTGTCAATCGGCTCCGGTGCTAGGTTTTCCTTACGAGGAATGGGGGGCAACTCCTCAGGGGTGACGCGGCTAGGAGAGTGAGCAACGGTCAAGTTGGTACTATGGGGGTTGTTAGTCTCTGTTCTTGGGGCTTTAGATTGATTGGGATACGTACGTTGAGATACCGCCGGGTTGAGTCTTGCCGGTGATGAGTTTCTCCCAGGCTTCCGCACACTCGTGAATGACGTCCATGGCATAACTATAAGCTGCGTTAGTCGAGCGCTGGTGTAGCCGATGGGTGATGTCAAACGTACGCCTTGTTCTTGCATTCACCGGTGAAGGCGAATTGGTTCTCCGGCTTTCCATCGGGGATCTTGTAGATACGGAACCACTCGTTCGTGGCGCGGAGGAGGCCAGGGAGGTGGCGTTCAACATCCTCAACGTCATTGAGCTTCGGGGCGAGGGGGTCGTTGATGTCAACAACGATGACCTTCCAGTCGGTCTCC